TCTCTCTCTCTCTCTCTCTCCCTCTCTCCCCCCCTCTGCCCCTCCCCTGCTAGCTCTCTTGTGCTCTCTACCTCAAAGTAAATAAATAATTTTTAAATAAAATAGGATGGGGTTTTTCTTTACAAAATTTTAGACTTAGAGAAAAGTTCCAACAGTAATACAAAGAATTCCCATCACCTTTCACTCACATTCCCCATGTTAACATTTTTCTATATTTATTTTGTCTTTCTTAATATTTCACTCTTCTTTGTCCATCTATATAGGTCCTAAAAATAAGAAATTCTCTGAATAGCCACAGTAAAATGATCAGAATCAGGGAATTTATGTTGAAAGGGTATTATTCTGTAATCTACAGACTTGGCCCCAATTTCATCAAGCCGTTCTAATGTCCTTTATGGCAAAAATACAAACAAGATTATATATCGCATTTTGGCTGTTAAATCTCTTCACTCTCCTTTGATCACTTTGATCCCTTTGATCTGAAACAATATTTGAAGAATATAGGCCCGGTACGTTCTAGAATGCCCCTCAGTTTGGGTCAGTCTGGTATTTCCTCATGATTTGACACAGGATCTTTGGCACAAATACCATACAGCCATGTTGCTGAGTGCTTGTCAGTGAAGGAAGCACAATGCTTTTAATTAGTCCCACTACTAGCAATAGTAACTTTGAAACTTTTTTTTTAAGTTTATTTATTTAGAGAGAGAGAGCACACGCAGGGGAGGAACAGAGAGAGAAGGAGCGAGAGACAGAATGCCAAGCAGGCTCTGAACTTTCAGCACAGAACCCTACGTGGGGCTTGAACCCACGAACCATGAGATCATGACCTGAGCCAGAGTCAAGAGTCAGACACTCAACGGACTGAGCCACCGAGGCACCCCAATAGTAACTTTGATAATAGTATCTTTCAGGTTGCTCCCCTGTAAAATTACTCTTTTACATTTTGTAATTAATAAAGTATCCTGTGGGGAGCTACTCTGAGATTCTACAAATACCCTGTCACTCTTCAAACTTTTACCCACTAGTAACTACCTTTTGATGGTTCTTGCTTCAATCAGTAATCATGATGATAACTGCCAAATGGTGATTTCTCATGCTAGAATTTCTTCTACATTTATTAATTGGTTTTCTACTCACATGACAGTTTTTCCTTCTCTCTCTTCATTTACTTATTACTTACATCAGAGACTCATGAATTCTTACTTTATTCAATAGCAAAACAGTATTTTGATTGCACATCCCAGGTAGGATATGGCATAAGGACAAAAAGAACCACAAAGAAATCGTGAACAGCATATGGTGGTTTTGTTGTTACTGGCAATGTAGGTACTTTTATACACACACCCTAGGGGATAACGCAGATGAGTAATTATGTTAATGTCATTAGGTACCAATGTTACTTGACAAAATCAAAGAAATCAAGTAACAACCCTATTGAAAGAAACCCTATGTAGCAGTATGAATTAATTTATTTTTCTTCTAAAAAATACAGATTTTTTAGCTCTGTCCACTGAAAAGGCAAAGCAGGGATAACCCAGAAGTAATAATATACCTAATACCCATATTGTGAATTTAAATACCATTTCCCACTACACAGAAATGGGGCTACTTGGAGAAATGACTGGTTCCAAATCTGGGGCAAGAAATGAATAAGGCAAACCTCAAACATCTTGTGCCTGAAAGCAAGAAAGTTCTCAGACTTCTAGAGTCTTAAAAAAGGGCATAAGAGCTGACTCCTGCTGGCTAAAAATGGGACAATTTGTACATTAATGATTATAATTGATTAAAATGCATCAATATATAAAAACCTATAAATTCATAACAATACAACAACAACAACAAAAAAACCTTCATTGGTCACCTTTGGAAGTTGCCTGGCAACCAACTTGTTATTCTGGAAATCATTCGTAGCAGCTTTATTCATAATATCCCCAAACTAGAAACAGCCCAAATGTCCATCAACAGGAGAATGGACAGACTGTTGTATATTCATACAAGGGTATTCACTGTGCCGTAAAAGAGAGGAACCACTGATCACAGCAAAATGGATAAGTCTCACAAACATGCTTAGTGAGAGAAGCCTTACACGAAAGAGTCCATAGTATATGGCTTTGTGTATAATACGCAGTTCTAGTACAAGCAAAACAAAGTTGTGAAAATTATTAGAACAGTGGTTTGCACTGGGGACATAGCAGCAGAGATTAAATGGAAAGGTGATGAAGGAGGTTTCTGGGATGATAACATCATGATAGAGATATGGGTTACACAGTTCTGTGCAAGGTGTCGAAGGTACTCTAAGAGTTGTGCATTTCCCAGCATGTGAATTTTACCTTAAACATCATTTTAAATATTAAACTTGAATGGCATGTGTGCTGAATTTTAGTGAAAACATGGGTTGATGGTTAGAGGAATGAGTAGATACTTGATAAAGCAAATGTTCATTGTAGAATCTATGTGTAAATATCTACAGTAAATATGCTATTTACTATACAGGTCTTTCAATTTTCTCTGTGCTTGATAGTCTTCATAACAAAACATTGGGGAAAACTTCCATTTTGGAACCCCTAATTATGGAGCTAGGCATTATTGGCTGCTAAAATCATTGAAATAAAAGTCAATGGTGAACTTCGTAATGATGGATTGAGGCAGACAACACCCAAATCCAGAGATCAATCCTGTTGCTAAAAGTAGGACCACCAGACATTATGTTCTTCCTGATGTGTTACAAAAAACTGAAGTATTAGTGCAAAAAAACTAAAATTGAATGTGAGTCTAATCAAGCTCCTAGGTCTAACTACCAGTTTACAGAGAACACGGGAACATATTAAAGGACACTATGTAGGTGTTAATTAGCCAAGTCCAGATTCTAGGAGATTCCATGAGGGTATTTACCCAGTATCTTAACAAACCAATGGCATGAACATTTTTTAAAAAGGTTAGAAGGGGGATATGGTGTAGAGTCAGAGGGACTTAAGACCTATAGCCATCAAATGCAATGTATGGACCTTAAAAACCAGGGACGCCCAGGTGCCTGACTCAGTTGAGTGTCTGACTTCAGCTCAGGTCATGATCTCACGGTTTGTGGGTTCGAGCCATGCCTTGAGCTCTGTGCTGACAACTCAGAGCCTGGAGCATGCCTCTGATTCTGTGTCTCCCTCTCTCTCTGCCTCTCTCTCTCGAAAATAAAGTAAGATTAAAAAATTTTTGAAATAAAGGCATGAAATCTGGCTCTACTTACTTAGAGGTGAAATGAATAAAGAAAAGCAAGAGGATAGTGGGAGGGCGGACAAAGGAAGAGCCATCAGCATCCCCTAAGGACCAAAAAGAGTGGCTCTGTAGGTAAAGTCAGAAGTTTCAAGAAACATTTTGGGGTGCCTGGGTGGCTCAATTGGTTAAGTGTCCGACTCGTGATTTCGGCTCAGGTCATGATCTCATGGTTCATGGGATCAGGCCATCTATCAGGCTTTGCACTGACAGCGCAGAGCCTGCTTTGGGATTCTCTCTCCCTCTCTTTCTGCCCCTCCCCTGCACACATGTACACATGCTCACTCCCTCGCTCTTTCTCTCTCTCTCCCTGAATAAATAAATAAACATTTAAAAAACATCTCATCAAGAGGTATAAAAAACATTTTTCCTTAGGGGTGCCTGGGTGCATCAGACTCTTGGTTTCAGCTCTGGTCATGAATCTCATGGTTTGTGAGTTCAAGCCCCACATTGGGAGGACACACAGCCTGCTTGGGATTCTCTCTCTGTCCCTTTCCCATTCACACTGTCTCTCTCTCTCTCAAAATAAATAAATAAACTTAAAAAAAAGACAAAAACATTTTCCCTTAAACAAATGTAGACCATCACTCAAAGGAAGAGAATATCGCATGAAAAGGTAGAAAATATGTCTTCCTTACTTGAACACACTTGCTTCCTCAGTAATTCTTAGCATCGTACCCTAATCTTAGAAGCAAATAATCCCTGAAAAACATTGGATACAACAGGTAAGTGTTTGGAGAAATCAGCCAGAAGTGAGGATAGAAAAAATAATTTAAGCATCCAAAATATGTCCAGGAGTTTTTAATGTATTATTATATGGTCATGTTATTTGGTTTTGTGTAAATTGAATTGTTAATCTTCAGCTAATCCTTATCTTTGGTTTGTTGTTTGTCTATTTTTCTTTCCAGCCCCACTGTGTTCTCCTCGCCTCAAAGGAAAACTCGGCACCTGTTAAACTTGGGGGCTTTGGGGTAGCTATTCAATTAGGGGAGTCTGGACTTGTAGCTGGAGGTAAGAACACGTTTTTAAAAACTTCCTTCAAAATCTGGTCACTTTCAGGCTGGTGTAAAACTTTCAAACTAAATATTAGCCCATCAGTGTTTCATACCCATTATGCCCCCCCCCCAAAAAAAAGTGCCATCATATGATTTTGAACCTTTAGAATAGACTGTGCTTTTACTCTTTGTATTCCCACCGCTTGGCAGAGAAGTGAGCGTATACATACAGAGATTAAAACATTGTTGGAATAAGGTGATATATGGGGCAAAGTGACTTCTAAAGTTGAACTGGCCGGGGGCACCTCGCTGGCTCAGTTAGTAGAGCATGTGACTCCTGATCTTGGGGTCGTGAGTGCAAGTCCCACATTGGACACAGAGCATACTTAAAAAATAAAGTTGAACTGGCCAAGTGAAGTCCATTCTAAAACATGTGGATTAACCACTTTCAGGTTTACATCAAAGGCTAATGTTTAATTTCATACTGTTTTCCTCTTTTTATTTGTGAAAGTGTCCTGCTCAAGCTATCAATCTGCGTATTTGGGAAGAGCAAGCAGATGTGAATGCAGACTGATTTTATTATTAGCCAAAGCAAAACATAATTAGAAAATTCCCATGCCAGAAAAAAATAGCAGAAAGGTTAAAAATAGACATTTTCTCCACTAGTGTACAGAGGTGGATGCTAATTCCAGATTCAAGAATTTGGATTTTTATTTATTCCTTTCAATAGACTTTAGCTCAGAATGCAGCCTTGGTTTTAGTTCTGTCCCTTGGTTTTGCAAATGACGTAGTTCTCCATTCTGTAAATTACCAATTATGTAGTCCGTGCCTTCGATTTGCTGTCTCCTCATACTGCCAGCCTTCACAAAGACGAAAAATATGAAAAAAAATGTCAAAGGAAATTTTTTGAACCTATCATCTTTCATGAACGCTTATATTAAATTCAAATACCTAACAAATAATAAATATCAAAACTTTAATTTGTTACATAGATATTTCATTTAATTTAAGACACCATTACTAACACATCAAAGCAGTGTTAACAGACCATCTTTTGAAAAATGAGCCAGGAGTCATAGTTGTATTCTTTAAATTGTTATTTCATCACATAGCCCTCTAAAATTAAATTGTGTTTAAGGAAGGACGGCGCCCAGGTGACTCGGTCAGTTAAGTGTTGAACTCTTGATCTCAGTCACAGTTCGTGAGTTCAGGTCCTGCATCTGCCTGGTCACTGACAGTGCAGAGCCTGCTTGGGATTCTCTTTCCCTCTCTCTCCCTCTCCCTCTCCCCCTCTCTCTGTCTGCCCCCTGCTTGCTCTCTCTCTTTCAAAACAAATAAATAAACTTAATAAAAATTATGTTTAGGGGCACCTAGGTGGCTCAGTCGGTTAAGCATCTGACTTTGGCTCAGGTCATGATCTCACGGCTTGGGAGTTCGAGCCCCCCATTTGGCTCTGTGCTACCAGCTCAGAGCCTGGAGCCTGCTTCAGATTCTGTGCCTCCCCCTCTCTCTGACCCTTCCCCACTCACACTCTGTCCCTCTCTCTCTCTCACAAAAAAAAATTAAACATTCAAAATAAAATTATGTTTATGGGGCACCTGAGTGTCTCAGTCAGTTAAGCGTCCGACTCTTGATCTCAGCTCGGGTCTTGATCTCAGGGTCGTGAGTTCAAGCCTCATGTTGGGCTCCACACTAAGCATGGATCATACTTTAAAAAACAACTAAAAATAAAATTAAATTATGTTTACATTTTCTTCTAGTTTTACATTCTCTTCCAGCTAATCATTTCCAACAATGTGAAAAATTGCAACAAGTATAGTTTTAAAAACTGATTTTTTCCCCCTAATTCAGAACTTGCTTCTGTGATTAGAAGGACTGACCTTAGGATCAGATAGGAACACATCATTTAATTGTAGAATCATTGAATCTCAGAATGCCAAGGGCCTTAACTTCTCCAGTCTTGTAACCAATGATTGCCTTCTCTCATAAAATTCCCAGCAAAAGGCTGAGCTCTAGTTTAATTCCTCAGCTGGCAAAGAATTCACTATGATCTGGGCCCATATTTCCATTTTTGGAAAGCTTACATACTGAAACATTAATCTTTGCATAGAACAGAAATCCATCTTTCCATCATTTCCACCCAGTGGTGCTACTTCTGACTTGCGGGGCCATGCACACCAATTTTAATCCTTCCACATCACAGCCATTCAGATGGTTAAAGACAGTGATCGTGTGCCCCAAAGTCTGATCCAGATTAACTTGCCTAGGTTAATTTAGCCATTCCTTATATGAGAATCTCCTCACTGGAGCCAAGACTGAGCACAATGACGTGCAGTCCAGCAGCACTTGGGGCTGTTGCTTTTGCTGCGGGTCTTACATTTCTATCAGGCTTACCAAATTGCATTAGCTTCTTGGACAGCCACGTAACACCACTGGCTCATATTGATTTTGCAATCAACTGCAACTCCCAAGTTGGTTTTAAACAAATGTTGCTATTAAACTACCTCTCTTAAATCTGGTATTTGTACAGATCATCCCTGTGGAAAGACTACACAATTATAACAAATAAATTCTGATGATTACATACCCACAGTTGATGAGATGAAATGAAATGACACAAAGTCCTTTTTATATGTTCTATACGGGCCACATATAATGACTTTGTTTCTCTTTATCTGGGGTATCCTATTAGTATTCAAAGCATCAGCTTCGTATTTTACTGTGCATCTTTATTGAAGGGGAAAAACAGACTCATTACACTTACCTAGACATTTTCTACATGTTAATCTACTTTCTTAAAGTCCATGAACTTTTCCCCTAAATTGTATATATTTTTTTCTTAATGCTTATTTATATTTGAGAGAGACAGAAAGACTGAGTGTTTGTGGGGGAGGGGCAGAGAGCGAGGGAGACACAGAATCTGAAGCAGGCTCCAGGCTCTCAGCTGTCAGCACAGAGCCCGATGCAGGGCTCGAACCCACGAACTTCAAGATCATGACCTGTGCCGAAGTTGGATGCTTAACCTACTGAGCCACCCAGGCGCCCCTAAATTGTACATTTTTAAAGCTGTACATTTTGAACCTATGGTGTGTCAGTTTGCAAAATTTATTTTTCTCGGTGATTCTAGAATTAAAATCTTTCTGATGGTCAAAATGTCATTTCTTAGCATACCTATCCTTCCAGTCTTGAAAAAACTACTTCACACATTATAGTGTCTTTAAATATAACATATGTAGGGGCGCCTGGGTGGCGCAGTCGGTTAAGCGTCCGA